AAAAGTCGAGAGGGAAGGAAAGAGGCAAGAATCCAACAGTGACACAACTGAAATTATGAAAGATATTAAATAGAAAACATGTATTTCTTTCTCTCTGTTGAAATGCTCTACATCAGCATTTCTCAGCCTTGGCAACTTTAAGACATGTAGACTTCAACTCCCAGAATTCCCCAGCCATCTTAAAGTTGCCAAGGTTGAGAAACACCGCTCTGTGTGTTGAATGATTCCGATGATCATATGTGGATGCTAAGGATGAAGAGAAGATTATATCTTCTGGTTTTTTGTTGGTTTTTTTTGGACAGATTGAATGAGAAAATTCTGAAAAAAAGTAAGGAATGTGACTTCTGGTTCATTACAACTGCCTAATCATCCTCCAATTCAAACACCCACATAACAAAGAGGGAGAAGAAAGAGTAGCTAGGCACTCTCCATCTTGCATAGACACAGAGCTGGTCCTAGCATTGATCACAGCAAGATGGTTGCCTTATTTTGAAATGGATCTTGTGGAACTGCAATATACTGTTGTTTATTTAATTTATGGACTTCTTTTCATTTTAAATGGCAAGGACAGATGCTTATGGAATTTTTTGTTTCAGAAGATAAAATATTTTGACCTACCTTAGGTTCTGGAGAGAGTTCTTTTTGGTATTTTACCTGATCTTTGTAAAAAGGCTTGTGCTAGAAAGGAGTGGAAGACTGAGCTCCCAGTCTGCTGTCTAAACTACTATAAATGCAGAATTTGGTAATTAAGTCTGCTTTTTTCTCCATAATAATACCTATTCCTCTTGTTTGGGAGTTTTAGATTGTAAATCTGCAGGCAGTGAGTACTGTATTTTATTTTTAATTTGTACAAGTTGCTATGAAACACACTAACTGAAAAGCATAGTAAAGTGCAATAGCTTGAGGGGTGCTGTTGGATATATCACTCTCATTCCAAGTCAGCAACTACTCTATAGGTCAGTCAACAGATGAATATTCTCTTTAAAATACCTTGAATAAAGTGACTCTGGAAACCAGGGCTTAGGTCTTCCTTAGAACCTAAACAACATTGTATAACAGGAATAGAGCCCTGTGACTGGATGGGAGGGGATGGTTCCACAGTATACTTGCCAGTCCAATTCGAGCTGAGCAGATTGTTGACCTGGACCATGTGATCCCAAGGCTCTTCCTCCATGTAACCTTGATTGTCCACATGGGAGGTCCTGTGATGGGAAAAGAGGGAAAACACCACTTCAACACTTTTAAACCTAAAGCCAGCTTTCAGCTACTTGAGCAGCAGGATGGCAATGGGACAGAAACAATGTTGTAAGGAAATATTCTCTACAAATGGTTAGTGGGGTATCTTTACAAGAATGTTTGGATGAGTCCATTGTTCTATGTATTTGTTTTTACTGGTTTTAGCTGTTTTCCTAGTCTATTTTATGCTGCTTAGTGTATATTTTTATATTTCAGTTTAATACTCTAAAGGGTATTTGGCAGCATATATATTCCAGAATAAACAAATATATCCAGATAACATGTAGAATAAAGAAACAGAATGTGATGCACCATGTAATATGCTTTAAGCTATTGTAGAATCTAGATAAAGATAGCCTTCAGATTTCAACAGCAGTTTGACCAGAATTGCCATTACTAAGTGATGTGGTCGTAGAGCACAACATCACGTGACCGTATCACTTAGCAACAGCAGTTCTATCAGTCCTGGTTGCCATCATTAAGCAAAGAACATATAGGTCATTAAGCTAGGATCTCATGTGACCGCAACTTCCAAGTTTCTGCTGGCTTCCCCATTGGCTTTGCTTGTGGGAAGCTGGCAGAGAACAGTGGAAATCATGAACATGTGACCATGGGGATGCTGTGATGGCCAGAATTCCAAGGAGCGGTTGTAAGTCCCCTTCGTTTAGTGTTGCTGCAAGTTGGAATGGTTGCTGAATGAGTGGCCATAAACTGAGGACCAGCTGTACTTGCTGTCAGGAAATCATCTCCTTCAAAACATGTTAGCTATGTGACAGAGACTTTGCACATTTCACCACTATGAGAATTACCCATTTATTCCTATTCTGTTTCCTATTTTTTAATCAGTTGATAGCCCATGAGAGCATCTTCTCTCATATCCCATGAAAGCTAAATTTGGTCAGGAGCTGTGGAGAGAGACTTTGTGAAAACAGCAGCAATTCATCTTCAAGGACTCTTGGGGGAATACTGTCTGGACCTAGGGATTTAATTTTATATAAATAAGCAAGATTAAGCATCCAAAAGTGAATAAAACATTCCCACTAATGGAAGACCTTTTCTCACAGTATATCTTATGTTGTTCAATGCAATTATTCGTAAGTCATTCTCTAGCCTGCTACTTCCACAATTACTGTAAATACTCTCGAATAAATACTAGAGGTTTTACATCCCAAAACAACTCACTCTATGGGGAGCCTATCCCTTAAAAATGAAAATACTTCCAAGGAAATTGTATTTTAGCTTGCAGCTTTGCATTAATTACTCCTGTCAGCAAAAAGACAAAGATTTATGGTTGCAAAACAGGTTCTTACTTTAGCAGTTACGTGAAACAGGCTGATATTCTGTCACTTGCAAGCCAAACACTGACAGCAGCTGCCCAGAATAATGCTCTTTCAGAGCTCAGAAGAAGACAAGTGGGGGTGTCATAATACATTTCTATAGATGGAGCTTTCCCCACCAGCTTTGACTCCTTCACTGTTACATGCCACCATACCAATGTTCTCAGCAGTCCCCCTTCCAGGTGGCCAGTGCACCAAGATTTTACAGCCGGCCAATGTAAAAAACTGCCTGTGCTGACTTTTAACACATTTGCTCTCTGCAGTAAGGAAACAAACAAAACACACGTCAGCCAGCATAAAAATTGCAGAGCTGCCTCTCACAGTAGCCTCTGCACCTTGGCCGATGGAGAGAAGGGAGGAACTTCTAGGAGTTGAGACAAGGCCAAGTAGTCTTCAATGGGACACCACTTGCTTTGATGTTTCAGAGAATGTGCTACAAAATTACTTTGTGGAGTTAATCTGGTCATTTTCCAAAATGCTGGAAATCCTACAGCATTATGGGGGACAAAAAGGGTCAATGCTGGTCTCAAATCAATGCATCCTTCATTTGGGAGGGGGACCTGAACCTAGCTATCCATAAAGAAACATCACTTTACCTCTCTCATATCATAAGCTACCTTTCACTGGTTGTGTTTACATGGCACACTGAGTCACAGACTACCCAAACACATTTAGTCTAGCATGTTGTGCAAATCCAGACTGTACAGTTAATATAGGGTTCAGTCAGTCAGATGAACTCAGATAGTTAACGTTTAGTATGTAAATCAAACACAGGCTTTTTCTGTCTCTGAGAGTATATTGGTTGGCTAGAAAAAGAGACAGGCAAAATTTAGGCAGAGCTGTCCAGACAGAGAGTGAGAACAAGCAAGGTAGCAAAGATAAAGGTTTCTCTTTGTAATTTCCCTTTGAACTATGAGCCAATCCTTAAGGAGGCCCTGATAGGGGCAGTGAGTACCCCTTCACCCCATCCGAAGCATCCCTAGTAAAGAAGAACAGTTCAGTCTGTCCTTCTAAAAGTGGTGTATTATCAGGATATCCTATTACAGTCGTCATTGTGATTTTTGTTTAGCAAAAGTGGACCCTGCACCTGCAGGAAAAACGCTAGGAAGAAAAAAAAATTAACAATGGTAAATCTTGTAAGATCAGCCTTACTTGATATCTACAGATATCTGGAAAAATAGTGTACAACAGCTAAGTAGCTGTGACTTTTGAACCTTGTGTTGTAACCCAAGTTGAATAAGGTTGAAAAAAATCAGAGTCATGCAGGGAGATGAGTTACAAATAACATTTTAAGATTTTTTTCTCTTCCTTCCCTTTTTAAAAAATTATGGGCAACAAATGCCAACTGCTGGATTTCTACATGTTTGGTTGGAAGGTTTTGGATGGAGAGTTGGTCCCACCATCCCACTATTATGTTATTTCTTACTTGCAGTAAACCGTTAAAGGCCATAGAAGTGCAGCATTTACAATACTGAATCCAGCTCTTTTGGGAGATGGCTGACCACAGACCTGAGAGGAGAGGGCCTGCCTGAATCAGCTGAAACTGTCACTAGATGCCCCTTTGATCCTATCTGCTACTTCTCAACAGGTTTTGCACCTAATGTCATGAGCGACAAAGCATGACAATATTTTATATACCCTCTGGCAGGTGTCAGTGGGAATTGTGGACACCACACAGCCAAGGACAACTTAAACCTGTCACACACTAATTAGGGATGAGATAAAGCAATACCATAAAAACACAAGTGGCATGAAAAGCATGTCTCCACGCTAAGTTGGCACTGCAGGTAGTGGGCATCATCTTTGAACTAATTTATGCACTTCTGAACACGTGAACTTTGCAAATGTCTTTCAGTCTACCCATATTTGGACAGAGAGAAAACTATAAATTTGCCTGGAATAGAAAAGGAGGGACCTTATGTAAAAGCAGCATTTTTCTTTTAGGCGTATAAAATCCTCTTAGGCCATAGAGACAGGCCAAACAGGAATCGGCAGTGGAGTAGACAGCAAATTTCTTGTTGGTGTATTTCCAGCCGATTCCAAAGGGCGCGTGTAGCACGAGCGGCGGAACCGGATAGTGCAGAAAGGCTCAATGCCTGAAAGGAGAGCAGTTGACGGGAGAGCGTGGCCTGACCAGCTCTGGCAGCAACTCCTTCGCTGGGTGTCCTAAAAGGGCAGCAAATGACCAGCTACCTTGCCTCGACAGAGCACGTTTGTGTGATTTTTCTACCTAATGGGTCGAAATAACGGGGCACTACGACGGTCAAAGTGCAAGCGAGCGATCTCACCCCGAGGAGGGGGAAGGCGGAGGGGAGGGGAAGGGGAGGAGTCGACGGCCCCGGCGGCTTCGGGAAGGACTGCCTGCGGTGAGTGAGGCGACCGGGTTGGTGGCTTGTCACGTGACTTGTCTAGGCCCGAGACTGAGGGCGGGACCAGCCCCGGCCCTGCCTTCCTCGCCGATTCGTTCTACGGTATAGCCGTTGACGGGGCTCCGCCGTCGTTCTGCGTCTCCTCCTCTTCTTTCTCCGCGCTCGCTGGGCAACTGATCGCTCTCGCTTCTCGTTCCCATGGCTACTGAGCGGCCTTTCCAGCTGGTGGTGTTCGGGGCCTCGGGCTTCACGGGGCAATACGTGGTCCAGGAGGTAGCGCGAGTGGCTGCCGAGGATGAGCTGCGAGGCTCCTTGCGCTGGGCCGTGGCCGGGAGGACTCGGGAGAAGCTGCAGGCGGTGGTCGAGAAGGCGGCCACCAAGCTGGGTAAGAGAAAGAAGGAAGGTCGCATTGCAGAGTGTGGGCCTGGGGATATTCTCGGCTCGGTCCCAGAATCTGCGGTAAAAGAACTTTGGACCCGTCCGCGCAATTTCCTGGCCTATAGTTGGGAAGTAATAATAATGGTTTTGAAGCCGATCCTAATATTATGGTCCTGGGAGGCGGTGGGCAGGGAAGAGAAAGAGAGGTGGTTTCCTTCAGTCTGGCCCTGTCTGGATGCCTTGGACTGTGTTTCCCACCATTTCAGCTAGTACAAGCTGTGCCATTTGAGCGGGGTGCATCTGCAAGGAGAGAATAACAGATTATGCTGAATGCAATTGTTCCTTCCATCATTGAGATAAAGGCTTTGATTAAGAATGTAAGAGTTTCTGGCTCTGACCAAAGCTTCAGCTAATCAAATTGCTTGTTTCCCACAGGAACCAAGCAGATGCCTGTGTACAGCCAGAACCATTGAGTCCCTTCACTATTTTATTTGATTTTATATATCAAATTTGTCACCGTCCATCTCGTTGAAACAATTCTGGGCAGTTTGCAGCAGAGATAAAATCAGTTAAAATACAATAAAAACAATGTTAATAATAAATAAATTCCAAGAGAGATGAAGAATCGGCGAATAACTCAGGAAGCATTGTCAGGGCGCTAACCACCCCCAGGGACGGTTAGAGCTCAAATTGCCCCATTCGCGCTGGCAGAGCCAGGTCTTTAATCCTTTCCAGAAAGCTGGGAGAGTAGCTCTATTATAACCAGTATTTGCTTATTATCCTATTCCGCATTAATTGCCCTAATTCTCATTTAAAATCATGTAAGCTGAGTGTCATTAGTGCAGCTCATTAACTAAGGTATGGAGTGTATATCTCTATGCCTCCCATCCTGCTTCAGGCCACGGAAAATGAGATAAAATTATGGGTAAATCTGCATTGACATAGGTGTGCAAGGTGAAGCCAGAGAAGTTACTAAATTCCAATTTATTCTGAAATTTTATACAATCACACTTTTAAGCTAACATGCTTTACAATCTTTTTCACAATAACACACCATCTTTGGAAGGAAATCACCAATGTATGCATAATATACATAAAGAATTGAGGCTGAAAATAATGATTTGAAAAAGAAAGAAGGTGGTACTGAAACCATTGCTGGAAAACTCATCCATGTAATACTGATGCTGATGCATAAGTTTCAGCTACAAAGGAGTTTGCTTTGCTTTGCTTTGCTTTGCTTATGTAACTGTATCTGGGTTGTCAATAATCAGTGTGTTAGAACTGATTGCATTTAAGACACTGTTTTGTGCACTCCTTTTTTCTTGTCTAAATGAAAGGACATTGAGGATTAACTGCAACTAGAAGCACCATCTTCCATCTAATGAATTTTAGCTTCTTATTTTTAGGGTTTAATCACCAATTGGATTAGAATTCTTATTTTAATTAGTTATATTATGCATTGAATTTTATATGTAAGCTCTGTAAGCCACCTAGAGTCCAATAAGGTTTCAAGTGGTAGACAAATCTCATAAATAAATATGCCTAAATTGTTCTTTTTTAAAAATGCAATACCTTTCTACTGTACTTTGTGATTAATTCAGTTGATCCCTCTACTGTAAGCTTTGTCCGTCTCTAGCTGCTAATTCTGTTATTTTGTCCTGACCTGTTCTAGCAAAAACTTACTCCATCTATTTGGAACTCAGCTACAACTGAGCTTTGCTGTAAATTTCACCCCATTTTTCCTATCAATAAACAGTAATGTATTATTTCACCATTGCTTTTCAGCTTATATTTTCAGTATTATTTTGGTTTACACCAATACTTAAATAATATCTTGGTTCTAATCTTGTATTATATAGCCTCTCTTGCCAAAAAAAAAAAGTGCAGAAAATGTTGAGGTTTTTAAGTTCCAAAATGGCAAACTTTGAGCTTGTTTCCAAAACTAGATTTGTTCAATCAAAAGAAACAGTTTTGCATTTTTGTCCTTCTGCATTGTATCTCTTTTAAATAATATTTAATTATTTTTTATTTTTTTCTAGTGAGCTTTTGTAACAAGTGACTTTCTTCCCACATGCATATTTGGGGGATAATGATGGAATTTATATAGAAGTAATATAATTTGTTTATTAAAAGCAATTGGAAAACTAAATATTGTAAAATGGCTTTAATCTCATGAATAATGGTGGACTGAATAAAAATAATTATAGAGATGATTTCAGAATAACATGTCAATTTTAAATTTTCAGGGAAAACAGAACTGAAGTCAGAAGTTGGCATAATACTATGTGATGTCAGTGATCCATCTTCTCTTGCTTCAATGGCTAAACAAACGGGTATTGTTCTAAACTGTGTAGGCCCAGTAAGTGCTTTCCTCTCGTTTTTGTTTTTTCATGAATAAATAAAAGGTGCTTGTCCTGCAATAATTATTTAAAACATGACATTTTCGTAAGATATTGCCAGAAATCTATTTGACTTTTATATTTTGGAATAACAAATTTTTTGTTAGTTCTTTAGGAAGATTTTTATTTGTTAAAACAAAATGCTTCCTAATTAAATGCAAGGTAAAGAGAATATCCTATTTTCTAACACTTGTAAGCTGAAACTCATAGTGTTAATTTTTATTAATCACTCTTCTATAGTGTTGGTCAAATTTAAAAAAAGACTTGTGTTGCACTTGGTGCCAGAAACAAATGGAAGTTATTAAGCTGTTAACATTAAAATAGTTTGATATACCTTATTTTGTACAAGAAAATATAAGTTTTTTTCAGCAAATATAAGTTATTGAAATATTGTATTAAATTTGTTTTAAGTATTGATACAGGTCAAATCTAGAGAAAGTATCTCAATTCTGGATTTCATATTTGCAAACTAGGAAATTATCAAGAGAAATGAAAAAATTTTGAGGCTATATACTATAGAAACGCTAGGCTGGATAATATTTTATCATTGGTATATTACTCCATCTTTGATTGCCAAAATGAAAGTTCATTCTTAAAAAATGCTGGAAATGAATGAATGGATTGGATCCTTTTTCTCATATATGGTGGCAATGTTGTAAAGCCCCAAAATGCTGGAAAATGATTTACAGTAGCATGGAATGGTTTTTAAAGGTTGTAATTCCATTTCAACCTGAGATATTCCTATTAAATTTCACCAACTCATATATTCCTTGGAAATTCACTGAATTAGCACTGTATATGCTAAGAGCTGCAAGGATTCTATATACCTTTTATTGGAAAAGATGTTTGGGATGCAAAAGTGATATGTTACCACAGTTGTTTCTTATAATCATTATTGCACAAAGCCCATGCCCATGTGACTGGATACCCTTTAAATTAGGTATCAGATATGTTAATGTAACTTTGTATGCTTTTATATGCTTTTCTACCAAACACAAAGCAGGAAAAACCAACTTTGCATGAAAAGGGATAGCTAATACAATTCCTCCTACTTTTTTAATATTAAATTGCTTTTTTATGTGTTGTGATGACATAAGGAAAATATTTTTATCAGGACACCCCTTGGAAGCCGATGAAAACTAATACAATTCCTCCTACTTTTTTAATATTAAATTGCTTTTTTATGTGTTGTGATGACATAAGGAAAATATTTTTATCAGGACACCCCTTGGAAGCCGATGAAAACCATACATGCCCATTCATTTCCAAGACTTCTTCCATGCTGAGTCCCCTTCATACCCAAATGGTATCATTCATATTGGACAGATTTTCTTGGCTATTTGAATAAGAACTAGCCTGTGAATATGAGCAAGCAGGGTCTAATACTATGTGCTATTGGAATAGCAGTGTAACAGTTTTTCAGAAGTTTTCTTCTAAAGTGACTTCTGTTTTTCTACCTAATGCCCCATTTGCTTGAGAATTTTTTAAAAAAATCTCTTTTGTGTTGTTTGAGATGGTGGAAGGTGTTACTATTGCTGGTAGCATTTTCTTGTATACAAGTCTTTTGCTTTCCTAGCTGCTCAGACTTTCCTATCTGAAAAAGCCAATGAAATAAGCCTCCTCATGATGTAATAATTTACAGTTATTACAACACCTACTGACATTTCCCTGTTTGAAGGAAGTGTGGCTTATTTTTCATTTCATTTCATTTAAGATTTATA